GTGTCGCCTGTTTCCAGTGATTCTGTTCTGGTCGGGTGTGTTCAGCAGCGCTTGGTGATGTACGGCTCGACGTCTAACACGGGACGAACTGAGGATACCAGATGATCTGCTGCTGATTTGAAAGTGAAATGTGTAACCTGAGGAATAAGGTCATGGAGAGAATTCAAAACTCAGCAGGTCATAGGACAGGACAGGACACAGACTGGATGGTTTACTGTGGTTCTGTTTCAGTCCTGATGGTTGTACATAAACACACTACTGTCATATTATATATGTACCAGATTTACTGATGCCTCATCTACAAAAACACAAACCTGCAGCTGACGCAGCCTCCAGGAATGTTCAGTGAATGTAACTGTGGTTAGAAATCAGACAAACCCAATCAGCTCCGTGTTTACGTGGTCGAGTGCCGACTTGTCCTCTCTCACTGCGTGTAGCCTCAGTGCATGATGGGAATGGTGTGTGTGTGTGTGTGAGTGTGTGTGTGTGTGTGTGTGTGTGTGTGTGTGAGTGTGTGTGTGTGTGTTCTCTGGCTGCCGTCAGCCCTCTGGATCCAGGCAGTCACACAACAGATGGACATGAAGGAGGAGGTGGTGGTGAGGCGGAGTGTTGGTGTGTGTGCTGGTGGAGATCAGGAGGTATTTCTGACTGGACAAACCTGTTTCTGTGCTTCACCTGTTTTATTTCTATCTTTGAGAGAACATTTATTGGAAAGGCGTGCATTATCCTCTTCCAGTGATGTCATGACTCAGCCTCCACTGCGCCGCTCAGCTCATGACAGATTTGCGGTTCTGGGTAGCGTTGGCATGTACTGGTTGAGTCTGTGGCTTCTCTGCTGCAGCCTGAACACATGCAGCTCACTTTATTGGCAGCTCTGAACTGGTTTGTGTTTGAGTCCATCTGATATGAGGAAGTTCAGGATGTTTTTTCCACTTTGGTTTCGGTTGCTGCTGACGACTGTTACACTGAGAACCATGCTGTGTTCAGAGCAGGGCATCATGGGACCCCAGGGCCCCAGGAACCAGGACCCTCCTGGTTCTGTGGAAAACACCATGTCTGGTACTGATGCCCAAAGTGTAACAGAACGATGGCTGAAGGTTTGTGTTCCTCATGAAGACACTGCAGCAGCTGCTTCTTCACCACGTTCTGATACGACAGGTTGCACTCACACCAGGAGGATGTCGGAGTGGACGATGCAGAACTTTACCTGCCACCAGGTCTGTTCTCACCTGGATGAACCAGGTGGACCCGTAAAGATCATGTTCTTTGACTTTAGCTCGGTGGTTAGCACTGTGGTTTAGTGGTTAGCATCGTGGCCGCACAGCTAGAAGGTCGCCGGTTGGCGTCCCGGTGAGGACACCCGGGATCTTCCTGCGTGGAGTCTCCATGTTCTCCCCGTGCAGCGTGGGTTCTCTCCGGGTTCTCCGGCTTCCTCCCACAGTCCAGAAACATGCTGAGGTTAATTGGTGATTGTAAATTGTCCGTAGGTGTGAATGTGAGTGTGCTTGGTTGTCTGTCTCTAAGTGTAGCCCTGTGATAGACTGGTTACCTGTCCAGGTGAACCTGCCTTCACCCTCAGTCAGCTGGGATAGACTCCGCCCCCCAGTGAGGATGAAGGTGTAGAGATGATGGATGGATGTTCTTTGACTTTTCGTGTGCATTTAACACCATTCAACCCTCAAACTCTGAAACGAGCTGGAGGAGGAGGGACTGATTCCAGCCTCACTTCCTGGATTATGGACCGTCTCAGGATGACCACCATTGGTCAATCTGGACAGTGAATATATGTTTTTACTTTCCATCAACTGGAATCTGCTTCAGCTACACATGTAACCAGAGACTTGTCATCAAGCTAATTTAATCTGTGATTTGAGAAAGATTTGCTAAATGATGGCTCACGTTCTGCTGCTGCCTTCACTGCCAGCTCTGCACGGCCAAATGTTCTGCTATGAATGACGTGATGTTCCTGACAAAGTGCTGAAATGGAGTCCATTCATACAGCACCAGAACATCACAACATTATACCAGAATAATATCAGAAGTTTGTATCTGGGATTGTGACTCATGAGCAAGTCAGTACTCAGCATCATCTGACAACTCTTCACAATTCAATCTGGCCTTAAAACGATGATCCTGGTAGTTCTGATCTATACTCAACACAATGTGCACGAGGTGGGTTCAGATGCTGCATGTTGTCAGTAACAAGCATAGAAGTTCTGACACAACGGTTCTGGTTCGGACGTGTCCCCACAGAATGACCTGTCACATGTTCAGTGATGACCATCATTTATCCCCATCAACAGGTCAGAACTACAGTGAGTCAAACTGGCAGGTGTTTCACTGACATGATGCTGTTTGACCCGAGCTCGGTTCTCATTCAGCCGTTCACACCCTGATGAGGTGGACGCTTGGACAGGAACCGAGCCACCAGCCGCTCAACCAGTGGACGATCCTCCCTCCAACAGCTGCTCCATTTCTATCTAAAACTTTTTATCATGTCAGAATCCTCTGCACACGACTTCCTCTCGTCTGTGTGGCTCTATGCTCCAGACCAGCAGTCACACGGCTGACACACATCCACGCAGAAGCTTCAACCAGCAAGGTCATGGAGATGTGATCACGTATGAGCCGGAGCCACACCAGGAGGATCGCAGCAGCAGGACAACACAGAACCATTTTAGCCTTCTTACGCTGTCATAATCAGAAGTAATAGAATGTTCTAGAATCACTGCAGTGTAATTTGATTACTTGTTGGGGACATCTGGGAGCAGTGACATGGACCAGATGGCCTCTAAACAGATTACTTCAGATAATATCAGCCGGTAGTTTGCTGGTTTTAGCTCACTAACGATGAGGATGAACTTAGTTTAGTGTTTGTGCGTCTGCGGGGCGTCGACTCTTCTGTTGAGGATGCAGACGGTGAACAGGAGGTGATGAGCTCCGACTGCTGCGCTGGAATAATGTCGGTCAGCATGCAAATGTGCTCCCTTTCTGACAGCCTGGGTTATAAAAAGCCCAGTTTCTCTGTCAGCTTGTGTCGACGTCTCTCTACACGCTGGCTAAACGCTGTGAACTATTCCTTTATATTTAAATACATGACAAACAGCTCCAGGGATCTGATTTTAATCCTGTAGTCTCAGACTTCATTCCTTGTAAAGTACAAGACCCAGTCTGTCTGAGAAGATGTGATGATGACTAAACTGTAGCTCCTCATCAAAAACACAAACAGTTATTTTCTTAGAATGAGATAATCAGTTCAGTACCAGTGTCATGACGGCACAGAGCTGGAGCTGGGCTCAGATCAACACTGAGAGGACGATCCATGTGCAAACAAGAAGAGGAAGATTATATTTTAGTATTTTAGTTGCTGCTACAAATGAGTTTTTTGGGTAACAGTGTTTTAATTCAGTGTCTTCAGCAGCTGTTGAATGACTTCAGTTCCCTCAGCAGTGCACACATTTAGTTCACGTGTTCAGCATAGTTCTTGTCCTGAGTCATCTTTTCTTTGTTTCACCTGCTTGGCTGTAGGCAGAGGAGCACCAGGCTTATACCAGAGCTGCCAGTCGGACCGCACCAGGGTCTGAATGTTAGAAAGAATCACGTCAACATGGAGCCACATATCACATTTCCAGGAAGGCCATCAGGAAGTCTGGGGGTTTCCCGGTGTGCCCGTCTTTAGGGCCAGAACTTTTTGTCCAAACCCAGGTACCAGTAACTGATATGTAGATGTTCAGTGTTCACCTCAGCTGGTGGGACGACACCAGCAGCATCTGTAACAGCAGGAGGCAGCTGCCATCAGCTGCAGGTACGTAGTTCCCAGGCAGGTAGTAGTGCTCGTTAACTCTATCAGCGCTCGTTAACCGTATCAGCACTCGATAACCGGATCGGCACTCGTTGCTGTAACAGAGATAGAAAGTTGCGGTCGGTGGAGCAGAGAAGGTGCTGAACAAAGAGGAAGGTGTTTCTGGTTGATGCTGCTGAGATGTGACTGATGTACCGGAGCAGTGTGAGGATGAGGATGGTGGTGAAGAGGCAGAAACATCAGAGAGGAGGGAGCTCACGCTCTGTGCTGTCAACATGGACTCGGTACAGAAACTAGTTAGTGTTTCTGTTCTGGTTCTGGTTTCAGAGTTCTGCTGCTAGTTTCATCACATCAGAAGGTTTAACTGTTAAACTCAAGAATTAAAGAAACGTATCCATCAACGCTGACCAGAGGTGTCAAATAGACATGTAATCAGATTACTTTCTTCCAGTGGCAGCAGCAGCCAAATGTGGCTTTCAGCTTTTGTCCCATTCACCGACCCTCCCCACTGGTCTGACTGGGAGAGGTCCGATGGGACCTCCTGAGCTGTGTGGACCTGAAGCCGTGCAGAGCTTCTGTGGACGGTGAGCAAAGGCTTAATAATGAACAGGTACGGCCCAGAATGGCAGGTTTGCTCCTTGTTTCCAGGTCAGACTGAGAACTTCTTGAAGTACCATCATGTACATTTATAAACCTGGATTCTCCTGGAAAATGCTCTGAGTGTTGAAGTTCCTGCTCATGAGTCCTCTCCATGTGGGACAATTATAACTACTGATGCTTTATGTTGCTGTTCTGTGGCAGCTGATATGGACCAGGCTGTTTTTACTGCTGGACGGCTTCACCAGAGGACCGACCAGACCTTCATCTGAACCTCTGCTGTGTTGGTGTTACTAATCTACACATGCAGGTTCCTGTGGTGGAGCCATGAGCACCAGGTTCCTCCTGAAAGGCAGCAGGTTCAGCAGGAAGTAGAGGTAAAGCCAGTCAGAGCTGGACTGGAGCCTGAGTTTCCATGACTGTGTGTGTGTGTGTGTGTGTGAGAGAGAGAGAGAGAGAGAGAGAGAGAGAGAGAGAGGTGGGCGGGCCCTGGACCGACTCTATCCCACGTCGGAGCACCGACCAGGTGCTGCAGCTCCTCCTCCGCGGCTCTCGTCCGTCCGGCCGCCCGTCGGAGCTCCATCGCTCTCAGCTGCACCGCGTCGGAGAAAATCCGCAGTAAACCGGAGCGATGCCGGTCCAGTGAGCTCCGCGCTGCTTCCCTCCGAGCTGCCGGCTCGCTCGGCTCCTGCTCGGCTCCTGCTCGGCCGGCCGGACAATAGACAGCCCGCCTTCCCGCTGCAGCAGAGGCTCCCTCCGGTGGGGGAGCTCCAGTGTTCCGGTCCGGATTCCTGCAGCAGCTCCAGATGGCTGGACACGGCTGGGAGGACTGGTTCGAGCGGGAGGAATTCATCGGACAGATCAGCGACATCCGAGTGCAGAACCTGCAAGGTAGGCTCAGCCCGTCCCTCTGCAGAGCCAGAACCTCTTTAATAAGACATGAACCGAGGGAGGCCTGGCCACGCATGCTCCACCAGCTCCACCACCAGCTCCACCAGCACCAGCTCCACCAGCAGCAGGCTGCGGGCTGAGCGGTGCAGCGTGGACGGGCTGCGGTCCGGGAAAGTTTGATCGGCAGCCTCTGGGTTCGCTTTAGAGCGCAGAGCTGCCTCAAACTTTCCAGATGGAGCCGTCAGACAGGTCCTCCTCCTCCTCCTCCGCTCCACGCAGTGTGCAGCCCACGCAGGAGCCCTCTGTGGCCAAAACACTGGCCTCAGGTCAGTCTGTCAGCTTCCAGACCTGTGCTGCAGGCAGCGGGTCAGTACTGGGTCCACTCAGAACTTCATCCTACAATCTGTTCTTCATGTCATCAGACTGTTGCTGTCATCTGGGACAAGCTGCTGGTTCTGTACATCAGGTGGTGTTGGACAGATGAATACAGCTGATCTGTGTGTGTGTGTGTGTGTGTGTGTGTGTGTGTGTGTGTGTGTGTGTGTCGGTGAGTCCAGCTGTCAGCAGCAGCAGAAACAACTGTTGTTGGACTGGACTCTGGTGTACCACTCAGAACACTGTAGGACACCGGTATCCTCTGTCAGAACCGCTCAGACTTATTATACCTCCAATGTTGACGTCAGCATGGACTCTGAAGGTAGTGATCCGATTCAGTGAAGGTCTTCTCATGGTCTGTTGCTTTGCTTTCTGTGTGTCTGGTTCTGTAAATGAGAGACAAACAGGAAACCCAGGCCGCTCATGGACCGGGGAACCGGGGCAGCAGAAGGAGAGGGATGGTGGATCTGAAGCCATCTAGATAAATATCCAGCCTGCAGACTTTACAGTCCTGGTGTGTGATGGGCTGAACTCATTCAGTACCTCCTGTGGAGCACACACTGGAGCTGTGTGTTCCTCAGTCAGACATGAAGCAAAAGAAAGTAAAGCATGCTCTGCTTTCTGTCTGGTGTCTGGGAGGAGCTGAGCTACATGTGGAGCAGAACAGTGAAGATAACACTGTTTACCACCATCATAACCAGTGTTACTCTGTGTACAACCAGCGATGCCCCAGATATCTCAGAGTCAGGCCAGAGTCTGGACATGCTGTTAGATGCACCCGACCAAGGACACAGGAGCCTCTGCTGGTGGCAGGAAACTAGTCCAAGTTATGCTTTCAGCATCTGTGTGTCCACAAAGGGATGCCTGACATACATTCTGTCATCACCAGGTTTGCGTAGACCGATGGCAACGCAGAGCGCCGCACTGCCAGCTCCTCAACTGCACATGTGCAAAAAAATTCCCAAACATGTGAGACTGAAAACAAGCGCTTGTTCTGAGGAGAGGCTGAGTGTCCACGGCTGTAGGATTCATCGTAAAGCAAAGCTGTAATTGACGTAGCTGCTGCTGGATTTTACAGGCGTGTTGACTCTCCGTGCTTTCCATCCACGATGCCCAGACAGAGTAAAAAGTTCTGAGGTCTTCAGAAATCCTGGGTTCTGTCTGCCCACAGTGCTCGACACACCTCAGGAGTAATCACACGGTGCTACAGTCTGGAGGAGGCACAGAGTCAGAGTCAGTACCAGGTATTCAGTGTAGCTGCTGTAGCTGCTGTCCTCTTCTGTCATGACCATGAGTCGGTCTTTAGTGAACTCCCTCAACCACAGCAACACCTACAGAGAGCTGAATGAACATCATCATATCAGTGATTTTACCTGAAATGTTGACTAACGGCCTGCAGGTGGATCAGTGGTTAGCACCGCGGCCTCACAGCTAGAAGGTCGCCGGTTGGCGTCCCGGTGAGGACACCCGGGATCTTCCTGCGTGGAGTCTCCATGTTCTCCCCGTGCAGCGTGGGTTCTCTCCGGGTTCTCCGGCTTCCTCCCACAGTCCAGAAACATGCTGAGGTTAATTGGTGATTGTAAATTGTCCGTAGGTGTGAATGTGAGTGTGCTTGGTTGTCTGTCTCTAAGTGTAGCCCTGTGATAGACTGGTTACCTGTCCAGGTGAACCTGCCTTCACCCTGAGTCAGCTGGGATAGGCTCCCCCCCCCATGACCCTGGTGAGGATGAAGGTGTAGAGATGATGGATGGATGGATGGAGGCTGACTAACCACTGGCAGACAGAGACCAAACAGAAAGAGAGGCAGACACAGTTCATGCTGGGCGGCTACCTGGCCAGTATAGTTACTGGGTACCAGTACCACTGGTATCTGCTTCTGCCTCCGATGATGTTCCTACAGTTATGAGAACTTCTCTAAGTCATCCCCACAGAGGAGTGATCTTGTGGCTTCCAGTCACAAGCCAATGTTTGAGCAGCCAGGCATGAATGTGAGTTAATGAGCCGGCTGTGAGTCAGCGCCGGGCTTTCTACCCTCCACCCCACTGGCCCTGTGGCTGCTTTGCCCTCTGGGCTAGTTTTTGCAACTGTGGGTGTGAAAGTTGTTTTTTTCTGCCTCCTCTGTGGTGGCAGACTGGAGCATGTTAGAAGAAGTAAGAGTAATAAGAGCCCAATACAAACGATATGGATCCATGTTCCACTGAGCTCCTCATCATCCACCACAGGCGTCTCCTAAGATGACCGAGGTTCTGTTCCTGGTTCTGTCCTGTTTCAGCAGCTTTTATCAAACAGTTTAACGTGTCAGAGGGGAGCTTTGTCTCCACTCGTTTACAGATGTGTTCAGTGTTACAGGACTCCAACCATCCAGCTGTGACAGGGGTTTATAACTCATAACAGGCCTTTCACTGTTTTATTATTTCACCTTTTCATTGTGCATCATGTGAGACACCAGGAGGACGTGAGAGCTGCTCTGTGTGAGACTGATGAGGTGGAGAGTCAACAGAGACTCGTGTCTTCATAAGGATGGGATGGATCGACTCTGGTAGCGCTGCTTCTCTCTCTCTGGTGACAAAGGAATGAACTATCAATCCCGTCTTAATACAGTCAACATGGAAAAGTGTGAATGTGTTGCATGTAGTGGTGGTTTAGGTGGTGTTCCTGACATGCTCAACAGGCATCAGAGTGACTGGTGGAGCTCTGCTGGACACACAGCGCTCCACAGCAGTCCTTCAAACGGGCCGAGCTTTTATTATTCGACTGAAAGCGCTGCGTCGTGTAGACACACCACACACACATCAACAGGCTGAAAACACAAATGAGAGCTCGGTCTTTATTTACGGTGTGTTTTTAGCTACAGAAGATGAGCAGCTGAGGTCATTCAGTAGAAACACAGGATCAGTGATGTTTCTGGTGTCGGCCCGATAAAACATGGAATTAAAATCACATCAATAAGTTTGTTTACTTCCAGTAAATACGAGTGCTTTTCTGTTTCTGGACCAACAACACGGTACCGTCATCGTGGCGTCTGCTGGTCAACCGTCCCATTGAGGCGCGTAATGAAGCCTGATGATACCCGATGACGGCGGTTCTGATCAGTCCGACTCGTCATGGTTCTGAATCTGAATAGTTTTTAGCTAAACCGCTCAAAAAGCCTGATTCTGCTTTGTGATAACTCCACATTTACAGTCAGGCAGCCAGAGTGATGCAAGAGTGAAGCTCAGTGTCCACGGTGGACCAGTGGGACCAGAAGTGGCATCATGTTTCTCCTCAGACCTGCCCAGGTGGCTCCACTGGCCCGGTACACCTTGTCCAAAGTCCTAGACACTGTACACACCTGTATACACATGATCCAAAGACAGTGGTGTTATGAAAGTCTTTGTTAGATTTTACAGGACTGTTGAGACACAGCCCAGGATGTTCCAGCGGACCGTCTTTACTGGTCCGGTGTAGCTGCATGTCGTCTCTGCTCTGCCGTCTGAACTGGACCGAACCTATAAATCATGTGGGGATATTTATCATTCTAGGTGTTTCCAGTTTGCCAAACAGGGTTTAACAAAGATCAGAGGAGAGGCTCACAACAACTGATGGACTTACTGAGCGCGGTGAGAAAGAAGCTTTGTTCAGCTCTGACCCACGTCACCCCGAAGCCCAAACGGACAAGATCTAGAACGGTTCTGATGCATTCAGAGCCTCGTGGCTGATTATGTGTGGGCACAGAATACTAGAGGACGGCTTTAAAGCCAAGAAAGAAGTCAGTCCGGCTTCTCGGTGATTCTGATGAGACTCCTGGAGTCTCCATGTTCTCCCCGTGCAGCGTGGGTTCTCTCCGGGTTCTCCGGCTTCCTCCCACAGTCCAGAAACATGCTGAGGTTAATTGGTGATTGT